CTTATCTGTGATGCGCTGGAACGTGACACAGTGGAGATGTAAAGGGTAACGCCTGTAATGAGAAAATGGGAAGAAACCGTCGAAAAGGCCGAGAATCAAACCTCCTTTCCACTAGCAACGAGCAAGCACCAGTTACCAGCAACCAGCAGGGCGGGATACATGGTGGTGGGCGGAGTCCATGGTGTCTCCTTGGACTTTGGATCCTCAACATTGTCAACTCGTGGTGCTGAGCGAGTGCATGCTCTACACTTACGAGCCCCTCCATATTTCTCGCGCAGGAGCTTCAATTCGTCCGAAAATCCCGAAGGTTGCTTTCAACCCCTCTAGGTGGGTGATTGGCGACAGGTGAAGTTCATCGCGACTGCGCTGCGAAAAAATGGCACACACCTTTCTACAAAAGCCCTTCAGGAATTCTTAGGCAATTCCTACCATTTTCTAGAATACACGAAAACAATTTATTACATTTATTGCATTTAATCACAGCTTTTTCTTAAAATACAACTTATCAAGCAAAACAACGAATAAATAATATTAATAAATAGAAGTCTAGAATCTGATCGAACGCCATATCGCTGGCCAGTTGCCAATAGGTGAAGCGACGACGAAGAAGGCACACCGAGGTTATAATCCAGGCATCATACAAAAGCCACATCATATTACCACATATATGCATAACAATGTATATCAAGGAGAATCATAATCAAGCAATCTATCAATACTTTAACAAAATAGCAAATGCAAACGTTTTGGGGGAAAGAAGAACAGACAGCATCACTTTATGAGTTTCTTCAAGATATACTGAGATGTTAATTACGAGTTTTTGCACCGATTTATCTGCACACTATGCTATTGCACTCCAATATGCGTCAGTCCGTTAGACCAGTTTGTTAAAAAGGTTTGTTTAGAAAATTGTCCGCAAAGGTCTTGCTACAAAGAATGCTTTTCAAGGTACGCTCCACGCTGAGCCTGTGGGCGGAGTCAATCGGCCCGCTGCTATTGCTCTTCGACGGCAGGGAGGCGGGATCTACTAATCGCTGCGACCGACTCCGCCCATTTGCTCAGCGAGGAATGTGCCTTTAACTACGCACAATGTCTTCGAACATCCTGCGATAAATATTAAATAGAATTGGACCCTATGTGAAAAGCAAATCACATAGCAGAAATCACCCAGTTCATATTAGGAATCACATTATTAGGTTTAAATATTCGGTAACAATAAATAACATGTCTTAACTGGTTTAGTAAGACAGAGAGATGATCAAACCCTGAAATGCAGCGATTTCTCGACGCCGGCCACCTAAAGCGACCTTACCACATCATCAAACGCAACAAGAAGTCTTCATACGTCAAATTTGCAGCGTACTTCTTGCCAAAATCAATTATGGCCTGCTTTCGCTTCGTATGCGTGAACTGGTAACTGAAAAAAATACAATTCAGAATCAGTAAGAATACTTTAGCAAATAGCCAGTTCTATTTCCCTGATGATAATTATACTGGAGTTCGCCTGGAAATGCTATTATCTCAACCACGTTCCACTTTCATACAAGACGTTATACAATTCAATCCTTTCACCACCCTCAGAAAACGCCCCCCCTCCACCCCTCCCTTCTGCCTAGCCGTCCACCTTTGTGTTGCAGCGCCCGATTCGTAGTAGCAATGTATGCCAAAAAAACATGGCGCGCAGCGAAAGAGATTGAAACAAGCGCAACAACGCGTTAGTACCACGAGCTGGTCGAA